CGGCCTTCGGCCGCGCTTAGGGATTATAACCCTTACTAATCCTGTCTGTGTTGCCGGAAAAGGGGACCGGAATTATTTTTGCGTAGAAGTTCTTTCTGCGTAGGCGGCCTTCGGCCGTGCTTAGGAATTAAAACCCTTACTAAGTAGAAGTAAATAATTTATATTAGAAAAAACGAAATTATCCATATGCACACTTTCGTTAGAAAACCGAAATAATGCATATAACAAAAACCGAANAATAATTCATATTAGAAAAAACGAAATTATCCATATGCACACTTTCGTTAGAAAACCGAAATAATGCATATAGCAAAAACCGAAATAATGCATGCATGCACAATTTCGATTCAAAACCAAAATAATGCTTATGGCAAAAACCGAAATAAAGCATAAATGCACAGTTTCGGATGAAAACCGAAATAATGCATATAGCAAAAACCGAAATAATGCATGCATGCACAATTTCGATTCAAAACCAAAATAATGCTTATGGCAAAAACCGAAATAAAGCATAAATGCACAGTTTCGGATGAAAACCGAAATAATGCATATAGCAAAAACCGAAATAATGCATGCATGCACAATTTCGATTCAAAACCAAAATAATGCTTATGGCAAAAACCGAAATAAAGCATACATGCACAGTTTCGGTTGAAACCGAAATAATGTCTAAATGCACAGTTTCCATATGCGCAATTTCGGTTCTTGTATTCTATCATTCTTGCATGCGACGTATACTGCGTGTTCTCTGTCATAGTAATAATAACACAATGTTCGAAGGGTGCAATTTCACAAAATTCACCTTTACTACATACATAAAAAATTTACTAAGTATAGCCTGGTTTGTAGATGCAGTTTGAAAAACTGACTTCAGATTCCTAATTAGCAACCCCTGGTAACAAGTTCCAACCCATGACAATGCGTAAATCGTTCAGTATCAACGTTTTAATTTTACTAATGTCTTTTCGAGAGCATATTTTCGGAAACTAGGCTAATTCTAACTGTCCAAGACAGATGTGTAATTAAGGGGATGTTCCCCAATAATACCAGAGTAATTAAATCTAAAAACCACATTTGTAGCTGCATGTCAAGAAAATAAAAAAATTTAGAACCTCGGAGTTTTTACAAAAAAAACCGACCAGCGCGACCTCTAAAATAGCTTTTTTTTTCAAAATGAAAAAAATGTCTCTTTTTTTTATCACAAATAACAATATTCTGATGTAGCGTTTATGAATTTCCAAAAAGAGGGCTTTTATGAACCACTCTAATATAGTATATAGTTTGCTTAGCTGCACATCCTTCTTTGCACGAAAAACTTGTGCACGTAACCGAAAAAGGCACTTAAGCGAATTTTCTTTACTACTTCAATGAGGAAGGTATCCGAATCCTTATGAAACCAAATATTGGCGGAGCACTTACCATGTAGAAATTACTGCTTCGCTTATTTGGTTTCATAGGGATTCGGATGTGAAAAATAATAGCGACACGACTTTCGAATTTTTTTTGTTTGGTTAATGTTTATTATTTTTTTCATAAAAATGCAGCTCATCTAACAAAAACCATATATGTAGTACCAAATTTAAAATTTTGTAGGAAAATTCAACATTTTACAACAACAAACTTTTTATTAAGAATTTTTAGAAAAAAATCTAAGTATGCAGTTTTACAGCATATTAAAGCTTAATAAAGTGCAAGTTTCAAGTGGCTAAGAACTCGCGTTGATTTCAGATGTTTTTCTCTTTCGAACATACTTTTTTCTTTGTCGAACATACTTTGTCTGGAGGAAAAACCGTGACATCAGCAAAAAAAACAAGATTATCAAAAGTCGACGCCAATTCCTTTCCACTTGAATTTTGCACTTTATTAAACTAAAATTTCATGGGCTATAAAACTGCATACTTTGAAGTTTTAAAAAGTTCTTACTGCAATGTTGGTTGTAGTTGTAAGATTTTGTTGAACTTTTAAAATTTTTCTAGAAAGTTTGAAATTTAGTCTTATATGGTTTTTGTTAGATAAAGTACAATAAACATTAAACAAACAAAAGAAAAAATATCCAAAATTGGTGATAATGGCGTGTCCCTTTTATTTTCCACATACTAAATTAGTCACTTTATGGCAATGCTGTAAGAGCACCACTTTATAAATATATATACATATGTATGTATGTACATATGTATACGTTACGTGTATTTTCATAAAGTTAGAGATAATTGCGATTATATTCCTTACACGATTGCAGTCGTTGGTAACTGGATTTGGCGCAGCCTGTTACTTCTATGCAACTGAATGAACTGGGATAGATTGAATTCACTTTGCACATAAACGTTCGCGATTTAGTATATGTCTGTAGCGGTTGAAAATGGTCGAAACGCGACACGAAATGAAGCTGAACTAATTTTTAGTTCAATAATTCAACACGTATTTAACATATGTATATGTACACATACATATTGCACTTATTCACATTAGTATTCAGTTATGTGCGCAGTTTTGTCGTTAACGGCCGTCATTTTAACTTAAAAAATATTGGTTAATTAGTCAGAACCGAAAAACTGATCACGTCTAAAACACAACCGCCCAGCACTGCGAACGAAGTTTAACTGACACTACGCTAAACGCGATGCGGCAGTTCGTCACCCACTGATTGTGTGATCACTACCGGAAAGCTGCCGCTGTTGCGATATTGTTAGAGAATCTGACGATGGAGCTTTTACTTGTTTCAGCGGTAATGTATTTGCAATGTCAACGATCATGGAGACATTCGCTGCAGCTGATCCAATTCTCTTTTCTGGCTTCCTATTATCAATCTCAATAATTTTACTTTCTCTTTCGAGAGGATTGTGTTGCCTATACATGATTTTGCAGCTTGGTGGCGCGCGAATACTCTGTTGTGGTTATTGTCTTCTCTCCAATTATTGACCCACGAATGCATTCAGCGGCTGTATTGTTATCGAACTGTAAATTGTTAGTGTAAAACATCAGAAAGCGACGATGACTTCCCGACAGGTCCACGGAGTGTTGTTTAACCCGTTCTGCAGACGCTATCGCTGTGGCTGTGGCTGGTGAGATGACGGTGCCGATACTTAAAAAACGAACTTGTCGTTAATGTTACTTTGCGGGGTTACCACAATAGCCGCTCGCTCTTAAGTTGTTGATGATTAATACTTATGTTCTTGGAAATAAGCGAGTTCGTCATGCGCGCGAGACAGTTGTGAGTAAAGCCGGCACGCACCATTGTGGCTGGATTCCCCACACCCTCTTGAAAGTATTCATATGTACATACATACATATCGCACACCGTCTTCAAAAGAGTCGCAACTCAAAATTTGGCATTTTTGAAATTATGCGCTAAAAATGTACGCAGCGCTTTTATTTAGCTTTCAGCAAAAACTGGAGCAGATTTTATTTATAATTCGTTACAAAAACCTAAGGTAAAATCGCCCTTGCCCATATGATTGTCATGTGGTAAGAAATAGTTTTTCGCATTTTCTGACAAACGTATCATTTTGAGTTGTGACTCCTTTGAAGACGGTGTGCGATATGTCCATGTGTATGAAGTAGGTGTGTGCTTAAAGTAAAAATATGTGGCTTCAAATGTCTTTACAGATTATTAATCTCATACTTACATACATACATTCACTCTATTTAGTTGTTATACTTACTGCGGCGAACACCAAATAATTAATGAATGAATTTAAAATTTCCATTGAGAGTATGTTCTAACGTTATGAAAGTAAATTCAAATATGTACAAAGAAATGTACATGCAGTGACTCATAGAACTACAGTGGAATCTCGAAAAGGTTAACCGAAATCTCCCAAGGGTGATTAACCTTTTCAAATTATTAACTTTCATAAGCGATTTTAATAATTTAAAAGAATATGTTAATATAGTTTTTAGAAAATAACACGCTAAATTTATTCCAATGACTTGGTTTTCATCATTACGGAAAGGAAACTTGGATTTAATTTGTACCAGCATATGGAGAGTTTTCTTCTTTGCTTCTTCATATGTGCTCGCCACTGCCTCCAAAATGTCATTGCGTTTTTTCTTTATTATTGAGATGCCTGCTTTAGATACACCATAATACGCCAATCAATTTCCGTAAATAGTACCTCGATAAATTTTTTTTCAATCTCAGCTTTTTTATGTAGATTTACCGCCCAATTCTGTGTTTTCTTGATAAACTTTTTGTAAGGAAATTTTATCAAGATTTTTATCAAGTAAAAGCTTTCTTCGCATTCTGTGTCATTATTTATAAAACAAAAAGCTCTTTGATTTCCACATTAGTGGAACTGATTTCCACATGAGTGAAACTGATTTCATTGTCACATATGAAAAATATGAATTTAAAAGACAAAAAGCTTTTGACTGCCGTAGGTGAGTAGGTAGAGATGTCGACTATAATTCCGTGTGTCACCGGTTCAAATGCCGGCACATGCAGTATTTAAATGATAAAAACAAATGTTTTAATACCCACAAACAATTTATAAGTTTCGCATGAAATCTAAATTTGTAAACGCTTGTGGATAGCATTTCGACTGCTAAGTGGAAGATCGACCTATCTCGGAAACCAGTTCGAAAACGCCCTATCTCAAAAAAATTTTCAAGAACGCCCTATTTCAGAATTTTATTGAAAAACACCCTATCTTAGAATTTGGTTCAAAAACGCCCTATTTCACTTCAAAATGTAATGAAAATGTGCTGATATAGGGCGTTTTTGAAACGAATTCTGTAATACGGCGTTCTTGAAAAAATTTTGAGATAGAGCATTTTCGAGTTGGCTGCCGAGATGGGTCGATCTTCCAACTCAGGAGTCGATTTTCAATCTTGATAAGATGGTTTTAATATTTTATTATTTATCAATAATTGGTATTCTGGCACAGAAATGAAAATTTCTTTTCTTGATAAATTATTAAGATTCAAAATGCTATTGAAAAACGTTCACAAATTGAAATTTTATGTGAAAGTTATAAATTTTGTATATAAAAAAATGTGTTTTTGTTATTTAAACACTGCAGGTACCGGCAATTGAACACGGAATTATAGTCATCTCTACGTACTCGGCTATGGCAGTCAAAGGATTTTTTGCTTTTTAATACTTTTTTTTCGTGTTGAAATCCTGCAGCTTGCGAAGAATGCGAAGGAAGGAAGCTTTTGCTTGTTAAAAATCTTGATACAATTTCTTTACAAATAATTGATCAAGAAAACACAGAATAACTTCATAAACTTCGAAAAATGTATTTCAAAGTTTTAATGTAGTTGATTGATTAATCTTTATGCGTATGTGTAAACTAAATGGTTCCATAGGAAAAGACAATCGTAACTAATAGCCAAATATAAATTTAGTTTATTTAGTAAGTAGAGTGGAGTATTAAACTTACATTTTTTGACTTGTTTCCATGCAAATAGAGGAATATTAACAAGAAAACGATAGCTGAGTGGAAGATTGACCTATCTCGGCAGCCAGTTCGAAAACGTCATTTATTCAGAAAACTTTTCAAGAATGCCCTATCTCAGATTTCGGTTCTCAGCACATTTTCAATACATTTTCATTTGAGATAGGGCGTTTTTGTACCGAATTCAGAAATAGGGCTTTCTTAAACCAAATTCTGGGATAGGGTGTTTTTCAATAAAATTCTGAAATAGGGCGTTCTTCAAACAAATTCTGAAGTAGGGCGTTCTTGAAAAGTTTTCTGTTATAGGGCGATTCCGTACTGGCTACCGAGATACGTCAATCTTCCACTCAGGTGTCGAAATTCGATTACTATTTTCTTACTGAGAAGATAGTATGTAGGACAGGCGTATAAAAAATTAATAAATACATATCGTCACCCTTAAGACAGAAGCATGAATCTGCAAATTTACCAATATTGAGTTATTGGGTTGACTTGTTTAACCTTTGGATGTTCTAGTTTATACCAAAAGTCAGAATACCATGCGTACATGGAAAGCATATATTTCACAATGTCAATTACATGAATGCAGATTTAAGTATCGTAAAAAACTTCAAACTTGATTTTCCAAAATTTTAATTTTTACGCATTCATGTTTCTGGCATGCGGGAAACGATATGTACTTACCGATTTGTTTTACACAAATTATTTAAAAAGCAGACGTCTCGGTTGCTCGACAAATGGGTTAATCGTTTCTGCAATTATTTCACATTGATTCTCTAAAACAAAGTTTCGATGTATGCTTAAGATGCAAAAAATTAAAGGTAAAATTTATGAGAAATCAAACTGACAATTTATTAAAACTAGTTAGTAGTAACCCCCGAAATTCAGGTGAATGCAGTAAAGAAACTGCTGTGCCCCAAAGTAGACTCACTTCAGGCGGAACTAAAGAAGCACGAGAACAACAGCGTTGCCGCCGATGTCATAGTGCGGGGTACACCTATTTCTACAGGTGAGGTTTGTTGGCGAGATTTTTAATCAAATCTGCCGCGCAGTTCAACTGGGCCCTCCCCCATTTCGAGCAGCTTTTCGTGTACGCAGCAACAGTAACTCCAAGAGTGCCCCAATAATTGTGAAGCTCTTTTCTCCCCATGATCGTTCCGCGCTGTTTAAAGCTTTTAATGGGTTTTACAAACCCAACAGCAGAGGAATACAACTACGAGATATTGGATACAAGGTAGAGGAGAGACTCCTCTTAAGCGAGTGTCTCACTAAATGTAATCGGGAAATTATGCAGTTTGCTACCCAGCTTAAAAAGCAAAAGCGAATAACAACTGTTTTTTCTTTGAGAGGTGAGGTGTTTGTTCGTGTCCAAACTGGTGGTACTGCCGTCAAAATCCTCTGCAAAGAGGCCTTAGAGAAACTACTGCAAAATAGCCAATGACTAAGGGGCCTTCTGATATGTTTTATTCGTATGAAACTTTGTTACTCGCTCTGCTCTTCTTCTTTCTACCTTTTATTACTAAAGACACTCTCCCCCCTATCGTTTGTGATTATTATATGTTATAATGCGTTTGGCCCATATCGGGAAATTCTATTTGCTCTTAAAGTGCGGTGTGTTCTCTTTTGTCTAAATGAGTGTGGATGATCGATTTAGTTCCAAAGGCAATGACAGCACATTTAATATGATACGTATCCTAAGTAAGCAAAAGCAAGGCTTAAAAGTATGTCATCTAAACGCTCAAAGTTTACCAGCCAAAATTGACGAGTTTAGATATATTTTTGAATCTTCTGATGTAGATGTTGTGTGTGTGTCTGAAACTTGGTTCTCCTTGTGGCATAGTGATAGTAGGTTCTGTGTTAATGGGTATAAACTGTTTCGTCAAGATAGAGCGAGTCATGGTGGTGGTGTTGCCGTATTTGTCAAATCTGGTTTATCTTGTAAACTTAAGTGTACTTCGGAAGCTTCCAGTTCTATAGAATATCTCTTTGTCGAAATTATATCTAATTGCAAGAAAATTATCATAGGCTGTGTTTACAAACCTAACAAACATGTTTCTTATGAGCACTTTATGGATTTCATCGGAAATCTTACTCTAAACTACAACAACATATTTATAGCTGGGGATTTTAACAGCGACCTACTTCGAGAAGGTAAATTTTCAACAGAAATGGGAAATTTGGGTATGTATTCTGCCAACATAAGGACTCCTACACATTTCACTCAAACCAGCTGCACTCTTTTGGACTTATTTTTTGTAAGTGATATATCAAAA